ACTATGGTGTTTCAGCTGAGAAAAAAATTTCTAAAGAACATACAGAGTTTGGAGATGAGAAATGTATGTGGTAATTGCCTAGAAGTGCCAGATTCCTGGTGGAGATATGAAGACATGGATACATGGGTGGAATTCTTGAAATGGAAATGTGGGGTCACACATGTGAAGTTAGGAGTTGAAAGAGTGGAGGGAGGAAGGACAAGGTAGCTCAGGGAGGATTCATGGGGTATCTACTAGGGGTTTATCCTTGTGCTAGGAACTAAAATAATCCAGAGACAACAAGACTAGAAATCATATGTAAAAGTTCATGGTATGACGGAGGAGTTAATATAGAGTTACAATTGAGATAATAGGCATTAGGCACATCCACACAACACATATGCACACATACATACATACATATGTGCATAGGTACACATACATATATGTGTGAAGTAATAGATAACATATCCCAGAATAGTATATCTGAAACAGTGAGAGAGTGAGAGAGGAAGAGAGAGAGAGAAAGAGAGACTCATATATATTCTGATAGTGTTTCCTTGCTTCAAAATTTTTCCAAATGCTTAAAGGAAGCTGTCAACTCCCTCCCTGGGGAAATTCAAATTCAGCATAACCTCTCATCCATGTGTATGTTCTTTCATGTGTGTGTATGCCTGTACACAATGTGTCTATGGCAGAAATACAGTTTAGAGAGAGTAGTTAGTTTATACCTTAAACTCCATACCCAGTCCATTTGTAAGTTATCCAGCTTCTTTCAAACAAGTCCTTAATCTATCCTATTATTTCATCCTCATTCTTTATCTCTTACCTGGACATCAATGGACCTCTCCTCTCTGTTCTCCCTGAGACTTCTCTGACTCTCTCCTATCTCTGCTTTACATTAGCAGTGGAATGATCTGATGACCCATGGGGCAGCTTATAGCATTGACCTGTTGATGACTCATGTCACTGAAGATAAGGGTCTCATTTTCTACTCTGGCCAGGAAGACCCTATGGCTCCCTTTAGATTCTCTCAGTCTCAGCCCCTACTATTCTCCCCTTCATCTCCACGTGTCCCCTTTCAGATCAGAAACACCACCCTCCTCCCTCTCACAGAGCCTTTCTTAATGCTGTCTATCCAGAAATCATTCTCTCACGTCTCTACATCTCCTTCTTATCCTTCTCCATCTCATTTCACTTTAGATTTCACTCCTCAAAGAGACTTCCAGATCATCCTCAACTTTGTCTCCAGCTTTACCTGTTCATTGACCACTGAGTTCTTATATCAATATGAAGTCATATATTGATTAATTAATTTATTCAAGCAGCCCAATTTTCTAAGCCCCTACTTTTTCCAAAGCACTGTACTAGAAAATGAAATGGCATCCATGAACAAAAGAGATGAAACCCCTACTCTCATGGAATACACATTCTAGAAAGAGGAGAGTAACAATAAATAGGTAAATGTGAGAGCAAGTAAATACTGAAAAGTAATAATTTGATAAGGATTGAAATAAGGATTTGTTTATAATTCACAAAAAGAATTCATAACAATTGACATCGATGTTGAATCTGGCTGACAAGAACTGTGCAGTACAAACATGACAGGGAAAGGGAGGTGGTCCAGAGAGAACAATTCATACAAAGATATACAGATGTTATGAAAAATATGGTATGTTTGAGTGCTAAAGGAAGTGGCAAAAAAAAAGAAAGAAAAAGAAATCAATCAAAATGCCACCAGATTCCTGCAGGATTCAGGGGGCAGATAACAGAGAAGGTATCAGAGATGAGGAAGACATATGGTTATACATGGCTTTTTAGAAACAAAGCCAGCCAATCCTGTTGAGGTAGGGCAGGATGACATCTGGATCGGGGGTGACTACATCATGAGCTTCATGCTGTTTGTATTCATTTAGTGAATAATACAAATTCAATTGGCGTGGTTGACCAAATGAATGTATGAACAAATGAGGCCATGAAAGAAGGCATGGAGGGCTGATAGGGTAAAGTTTCATGGAGGTGGGCATGTTCATAGATGTGTCAAAAGGTGAACTGAAGTTTGTCAGATTAGCAAGATGGTAAAGAGTGTTGGGACTTGAAGAAACATACAACATGAAGAGAGCCGTGTTGTGGAAATACTTGAAGATGAGCCATCACTAATGTAATGGAGCCAGGCTTCAGCAGAGCCAGAATGGAGGATGTATTATCTTTGTTATTCTTTCGATATAAAGAAAGACGATGAGAGCTCCCAAGAGAGGATAATATAAAAAAATTATCTAAATCCATACATTCAACTCTAAGTACATACAGATCTTTGCAAATTTCACACTTCTGTCAGTCATAGCCCACAAAAAATTTTAGGATTTCATTGAAGTCTACCCTCTCTTCCCCAACATTCAAGACTTCCCTTGATTTTCTAATGCACAGCTTCATGCTATTTTTGGGGGAAGAAGCATTTGATCTAAAGAACACATTAGCAGAAAACAGCTTTTTACATCCTCTGGGATGAGCCCAGAGAGGATCTGAAGCAAACCCAAGGACAAAGGATTCCCCCAGAGCAAACCAGACACTATATTCATTTAAATCTTTACTCACCATGCCCACCCAGTCTAGGACATGAAGGCAGACCACACAGGATGTATGTTAGAAAGAAACATTTAATAGAATATAAATTAAAGTCATATGGATCAAAGGTTGAGTAAAAGATGGAGAAAAGAGGGAGAGAGATAAGGAGAGATCTGAAAGAAGGGGAGAAATGGGGGATGAGAAAGAGACAGAGAAAAATACTAGCCAAACATCAAACATGGGAAGATAATGTGTGTGATTCTATTTGTCAAAGAAAAAAAAAGGTGTTTTTTTTTTTCTTTTTGTTCTTTGTAGGTTAATATGTAAATGACATTCTGATTTATTAGCGGACTCCAGCAGATGAGGTGATGATTAGCACATTTCCATATTTATAGAAAAGCAACACTAACTTTCCGGATTTATATAAAATCAGCTCTTCACAAATAGCAAATTGTGCTATTATCGACATATGGTTTTCTATAAACAGAACTGAGGTAATTATCCCTGGGACAATTTGTCAGTGGGCTCCTTTTGAATATTAACCACATTGGAAGCCCATTTATGCCTCATAGATTTTAAAGAGGAAGGTCCAGCAGATCCCTCAGGAAATTATTAGTCCCACACCAAACAGAGGGGTCTGAATGAAAGCTCTACCATGAAGTCGTGGCAGAAGGCCAGGGGCCAAGGCTTCAACACCAGATTCCTGGAACTCTGGGAGGAGTGGTCACCAGGCCTGACGTACGTGTTAGGCTAACACTGGGATAACACCAACTTCCACCTGCCAAAATCCTAGTGAAACTGTCTAACACCTAATAGAAGCTCAACAAATGATAATTCCATTTCTTCCTTCATGTTTTTAAACAATTCTTTTTTAAAAAAAAAAGACCTGCTTGAATAAAGTTTTCCATGTTCCATGTTTTTTACATTGGTTCTTAGTTAACTATTTTCATCCAGTATATGTGTATACATGTCTATTTAGCTGGAAGAAGTTTCTTGAAGCAATAACTTAACGCCAGCATCTACAATCCATGAGGGTATTTTCCAGTCTATCTCTGGCTACTGCTCAATACCTTCCTTAGGATTCATGCATTTGTATTTAGACTTGTATTTGAGTTTTTGCTTTTAATTTTAAAAATCCTGTAACTCAAAAGGGTAATAAACATGTTTATATTTGCTCACCTTTATATCTTTACATATAATGGATGCTCAAATGGAACAGCTTGAATTATGTTTTTTAAAATGTAGATCTAAAAATGGATAAATTAATAAATAACCATAGCCAGGAATTTTATTAATGATGACTCTTATACTACCTGTCATATTTTCAATACTCACTATGCATTATGCTCTGTGGTTAGTGATAAAGAGATAAATAGAAAACTATTGAATGAAGCACTTGCTTCAAACATCCTGCACTCTAGAAGGGAAGAAAAATTTTAATATTTGGAACATTTTTATTTAAAAACTAAATTGTAGGAGAATTGCATTAACATGTTGAAAAATGGAAGTACTGTGTAAGCTGGCACAGTCAAATAAATCACCTTATACTGGCTATTTGAGCTTGGCTCACTAATACGGGCAGATCACTCATTTTTTTGCTGTATCTTCATCAACAGGGTAATTGATATGCAAACCACAAGGAGCTTCAGGTTGGAAAAACACAAACTTCCAGGTCCACTCAGAATTTTTCGTTTCATTAAGTTTGGATGGCAATCTCATGATTAGATTTTGAACAAATTCACAGGTGAGTTCCTAAACTCACCTTGAGAACAAGTGCTGTCAAAGGTGAGAGTGAGGTCATGAAGACCATTGATGCCATGGGAAGGAGTTTAGACAATATTCTTGGTCATTCGAGGTATGAGGCAAGGAAACCACATTAGCATGTGTGAAGGGGAAATATCTGTCTAGCAGCAGTTGTCTAGAGTAGGGAGAAGTGAGGCTGCCCTCAGTGGCTATTTGCAAAGTTATATGGTGGTAAGTGAAAGACGGAATCCCAGACCATAGCTGAAAAGGAGGTCATGTGAAGATAAACGAGAGAGAAAAGAAAGAAAAACAAAAATCTGGGATGATGCTAGGTTTCTAGCTTCACTGATAGCATTTCATCAGCCAAAAATTACCATTCAGTACAACTTCCAACATTTCAAGTAACACAATGCCCCAATTCTTTTAAAAGAGATAACCACAATACAGTAGGAATCCCATAGTTTTGAAGGACTGGATAAATCTGAGTTCAGATTCTGTCAGCAGAGCTTATTAGCAAGTCATTTCACCCTTCTGGTCTCAGTTCCCCCAGAAATATTAATATGCGTGCTACCTACCTTATAGAGTTGTTATAAAAACTAAGTGAAATTACCCAGGACTCACTCTGTGTGTGTGTGTGTGTGTGTGTGTGTGTGTGTGTGTGTGTGTGTGTGTGTCTTGTATAGCACTGTGAACAAACCAGCTGTCCTACTCACCAAAAGATTCCATTTTCTCTTTGTTAAGCACCAGGATGTATTCGTAAGTGCCACCCATGGATCCAGACGTGATGTAATGAGTACCATAGTCATTGATGAACTTGGAATACATGCCGTAATCGTATTGCTCTGGAAGCTCCATCAATGATTGCAACATTCCTTCATCCAGCATGATGTCATCCCTCCTCATCTTGAATTGGGCAGTTTGTACCTTTGTGGAAATTCTCATGAATCTGTATTTCTGCCACCAATAGGCACAAGTGAATGAAGAGAACCAAGGGAACATAAATGTTACTATGTGAGACCAAGAATTTAGTAGATGTGGGAAAACACATAAGCATAAATACACATAATGGAGTGTTATATCTGCAAGCATGCATTACACATCAATGTGTGGCACACTTCTCTCTGTTTCCAAATGTCCTGGGCCAGATCAAGTTCTCATCAATTATCAACTAGGTTGATACAATGGCCTCTTCACTGTGCTGCCTATCTCCATTCTTTCCTATGTCCATCCTCACCTCCAAATTCTCCCAACTAGAATCAAGTGCTACACTCTGCAAACTCTTATACAACTACGATTAACCATCAAATATGCTCAGCATGAGACAGATGCAGAGGTGTACTCTTAAATAAGATAGGCTCATGTCTTCATGAGGTCTGTATCCTAGTGGTAATGTTAATCTAATTAAGTATCAACAAGGAGTAAGGTCCTCAGATAATAAATAAAAGAGCATTGGGGGATGGGGGATGGGGGATTGACTCCAGAGGAGGAGCGTCACTTCTGTGTATTACTTTCAGTTAAAACAAACCTTGAGTGCAAAATAACAATGAAAGTTTACAAAATCCACCTGCTTTCAGAGAAGTCCATATTAACATGCAATCCTTCCTTTTGGTTTAATAGCTAATTTGTGCAAAGCTCCGGAACTCACTTTACATTTGTTGAGTCAGTTAATTTTTATAACTGTATTTTCATCACCCAAGTTAATCTTTGAAACCCAATCAGATCTATAGTCCTGGGGTCCATGTTACTAAAACATTTTGGTAATTTTCTAACCAATTTAATAAACATTTCACTGTACCCTGAGTAGTCCTCTGCCCTACTCACTCCTTTCCTTCCCTTCTTCCTCCAGCTGAAACATATTCTGTCTCATTAGTGGGAAGCCTCCCATCTGCAGGCTTTTGTCCATGCTGTTTTCATGCCACTAGTACCTCCTGGCTCCCTGTACCTCCCTGACTCCTACTGGTTTGTAGTCTCCACTTAGGCAGGTGTCTCTTCCTCCAGAATGCGTCTCTCCTCCCTGCTGGGTAACAGGCACTTGGTGGTGAATGTATGATGGGCAGATGAGTGATTTATTAAATATGCAGCCAGCCTTCCTAATTGTTTGGAAAAGGCAAGCTTGCTTTGGAATTCAAATTTTGAGATTCTAGCTATTTGTCTTTAACACAGTCCCTATAAGTTTAAAATACCCATGAAATAGGAATATGGAGGGAGGGGTTGAGGTTGGGGTGAATGGGTAAGAATTTAGTCTTATCGTTCAATTTTATTCCCTTTGTGATGATTCTGTGTGCAAAAGCATAATAAGAAAAACAAACATGATTACCACTGATCAGACATTTCCAATTACACCAGCAAATTAAGGTTCAATTACTACTGTACTTTTTTAATGCAATTAGGGTAGTACGTGTTCAGTGTAGATTATGGGATACTATGAGACACAGACATTATGGTTTACTACCTTCTCATTATACTTGCTCAACTTATTCAAGAACAAAGCAGCTTCTGAACCGGAGACACCCAAGGTTCCTTTTATGAGATGTTGTAGGCTAATGGTCACTCCTACAAACAGAGACCGACCATTTTTCACTGTTAGAAGAAGCTCGTTTCCATCCTCATACAATTCTGAGGAGATTTTAGTATCTGCCAGTGCCTGGAAAGACACAAATCACTTCAGTTTGTGAACATAGAGCTATTTTTCAATTCATTTTCAATATTTAAATCATTGCGTTGTGAGATAGCTAAAGTTCCAGGCTATTAGAACTAATGCTTAAAAAAAATTCACCCAGACATCAGATTGATGTAGAAAATATAGCAGTGTTAATGTTTAATGGTACTGTTGAAATGTTTATTTTACATGAAATACACCCACAGATAATTCCAAGAATACTATATTGTATGAACATTAATTATGTTGCTGTTTTAAAAATGATTTTGGGGGACCTGCACAATGGCTCTGTGGCTAAATCCCGTGGGATTTATGTGGCTAAACCTCTGTGGGATTTCATATGGACTCCGGTTCATGTTCTGGCTACTCCACTTTCCATTCAACTCCCTGCTTGTGGTCTGGGAAGGTAGTGGAGGATGGCTCAAATCTTTGAGATCCTGCACCCATGTGGGAGACGCAGAAGAAGCTCCTGGCTTCAGATTGGCTCAGTTCCAGCAGCTGCGGCCACTTGGGGAGTGGACCAGCAGATGGAAACTTTCTGTCTCTCCTTCTCTCTGCAAAATCTGCCTTTCCAATAAAAAGAAAATAAATCTTGTAAAAATGTTTACATACTTAGATGGCAGAGTATGAGGGAGCAAGAGAGAGAGAGAGAAGAGGGAAGAGAGATCTATCTGCTGGTACCCTTTACAGATGCTTTCAATAGCCCGGACTGAGCCTAGATTAAGGAAAGCTGGAACCCCTTCTAGATCTTCCACATGGGTTAATGGGCCCTAAGCAATAGAGCTGTCATCTGCTGACTCTGGAAGACATTGGCGGCATCCTGGATCAGAAACAGAATAGCTAAGACCTGAACCAGGCGTTCTAATGTGGGAATAAGGTATCCCCGGGTGCATTGAACTACTACACCTGCTCCAAGCAAGGATTTGTATTTGACTGCCTTATATTCCTGGTGAAAAGGCCATGTACCTTTGCAATGGTGACATATAGAAAGCCATGGCTGGGCATGGATTGGGGAGGAAAGGCACCAGGGGATGAGTAGATGCCTGTAGCCTCTGCAGAGATAAGCTTTAGAGCTGTGCACAGATGTTTAGCAATTTAATTTCAGACATACACTATGAGGACAGTTCAAAAAGCTCGTGGTAAATTAATTAAAAGACATTTATTGTAGAGCAAAACATGTTTGGAATTTATGCATAGATTTTCATAGTAAGACATTTTCCATGACTTTTTTGAAGGGCCTTTGTTGAACTGTATTTCTCTGTTGACTTTAAGCCTGAGTCAAGATCAAGGGCACTGCAAGGCCCAAAGAAGCCACTGAGCAACATGCCATACAGTTGACATTATGCTTCCAGGGCTAATGTGTTTCATCCTAGCATCTAACATCCGAGCAGCAGCTCATGTCCTGATTGTTGTACTTCTAATCTAGCCTCTTACTAATGTACCTGCGAAACTGCAGATGATGGCCCTGCCACTGATGTGGGAGTCCTGGATGAAGCCTGGACCAGCATTAGTTATTGAGGCCATTAGGTGGAGAGAACAAGAAGATAGAAGATCATTTTCTCTCTCTCTCTCTTTCAAATTAATCAATAAATCTAACAGAAAAGAAAGAAAAGAAAAATTGAATGTCCATTTCTTGGGTATGGACAATGGGCATTAGTAAGGTATTGTTGCTTCTAGTTTCTGGGACTTGAGAAACCTTTGTTCCCACAGCATAGTCTAGTCCATCTTGCCTAACGCATAGACCTTTTCTGAGATTAGGATAATGGCATTGTCTGTGGCTCACATGCCTGAGACAGAGTAGAGGTTGATTTAGGGATGGGGCAACACGTTTGAATTAAACTACTGCCTGAGGTGTTGGCTTCCCATATTGAAATGACAGTTTGAGTACCTGCTGCTCTGCTTCCAGTCCAGTTCCCTGAGAAAGCAGTGGAGGATGTATAATGTGCTTGCACCCCTGCCACCCATATAGAAGATTAGGCAGAGTTCTGGGCTACTTGTTTTGGTCTGGCCCAGACCTTGTGGATAGAATTTCTCCTCTCCCATCTCTCTCTCTGTATGTATGTGGCCCTTTCTCTCTTTTTCATGTGTGTGTATGCTAGTCTCTCTTTGAAAATAAATTAAGCTTTCAAGAAACCTAACCGTACAAGCTTAATGTCATTTTCTGTCAATACTTCTTTCTTGAGAAACGTAGGGGAGTGGAAGTTGTGACCAACTAACTATTGAGAATTTTAGGATCCTGCCATCTCTTGCCATAGATTTGATAGTTGTGGATATGATGGGTACAACTACATATATATGTGAAGTGTTCTTGTTGGCCACATACTGAAGTGCAGCTCTAGGACAGATACCTTACCTCTTTAAGTCTCTCTTTTTTAAGATTCATTTTTACTTAGAAAGTTAGAGTTACCATAGTGTTGTAAACTTTTTTTAACTTCATTCCTTTTTTTGATTTTGTTTTATGGCTCTTCATTTAATGAGATGTATAGTAACTGTGTAATACAGACTACCATATCAGGATGTGAAGATACAATGCAGTGTGCATCTCTACTTCCTAATCAAAGATGGACTCTCAATGAAACTATTAAACATATCTTGACAATAGAATGTTGTGTTGTCTGCCATTTTTCATACCTGCAATATCAGGATACACTTAAATAGCAGAATGACGGACTTAGGGCTGTTTATGAAGGATTATTGTAATAATATAGAGGAAATCGGTGGCATGAGGATTTGGGGAGGGAGTAAGGTAAAACCCAGTACCTATGGAATTGTATCATAAAATTTAAAAAGTAAAGGAAAAAAGAAGAAGAAGATCAGAGTTAAATGAGAAGGAGTTAGAGTACGAGAGACAAAGATCTTCCATCTGCTGGTTCACTCCCAAAATAGCTGCTATGGTCAGGATTTACACAAGTGGAACTCAAGAGCCAGGAGCCAGGTCTCTCCTGTGGGTAGCCAGGACCCAAATATTTGATCCATCTTCTACCATTTTACCAGGTATGTTAGCATGGAAGTGAATCAGAAATGGAGCCACTGGGACTCAAAGTGGTGCCCTTATGAAATGGCAGCATCACAGGTGGAGGCTTTACCGATTATGCCGCAGTGCTGGCCCTGTAAGTACCATATATATAATGGATAATGATCATATCGACTCTACCGTGTTGTTGTGGAGAGCAAATAAAAAGTGTACATTAGAAGCAGAAAACCTGACTTAGTATACACATTTGGTAATGTGTGCTACATGGAGCAGTGTCTCAGGCCAAGAATCAGCAGGAAAGACACAAATGCTCACAGGCAGCTTCTGGAACTGGCCCTGACCCACGAGGAACTCCTGGTATTCTGGAGGCCACAGAATCTAGGAGACAGAATCCTCAAGGTCATCCTCAATTTGCAAGCATTTCTGTTTGAACAGTTTTTTTTTTTCTTGCAAATAAACCATGTGAGCAACTCCTCGTGAAATAAGCGCCTGGGTCTCGGACCCTGTCCTTCTGCAGGCCATATCCTTGCCCCTTCATTTCACAGATTTATAGGAAAATGGTTCCAGGGAGGGGCTGTGAGATTGGTTCTCAAAGTCTTCTCTGAGCATACCAGCAAACCATCTCATCTTGCAGGTCTGGGAACAGGGCCCAGAGATGTGTTACTTGGTATGAAATCAAGACTTAGCAGGCATTGTGCCTCAAGGCTGAGCTCAGCCCTGGGCAGTTGAAAAGGGGTCTGTCTCCACTGGCAAGCTCTACACACATAAAAGCTTTCCAGAACAGGGGAGAGCTGTCCCTCCCTGCCACATGCCCCGTGCTGTGGCTGCAGGTTTGTCTCTATTTGAACTTACCTCAAAGTGGTACTTCAGGAAGTTGTAGGGTTTCCGAAAATATTTATCATCCTCTCCATGATAGAGATGCTCACACACAGGGTCATAACGCAGCTCCCTCCACTCCCCGTTGTACACAGTCTCACACTGGCCCCCATAATACCTGGCGTCGTACACACTCTGAGCCTCTTCCTGGGTCAGGATGTTGTATCTGAATTGAAAACAGAGCTACTGAGAAAGAGGGAGAGAGAGAAAACACAAGAGCTTTGGAAAGGCCAAGAAGATATAAAATGTCATGCAGTGGAAGGTGTAGCTGCTAGTGTAAACAGTAGTTTGTCAAACTGTGTTCCTTGGAGATATAGGGTTCCTCCAGTGACTTAAGAAAAACTATGGGTAAGCCTTGAAGACTGAGTGTCCCTGGTCAGGGCTCAGAGCTCCCCTTTACCCACAGCATCTGCTCCAGACATAGACTAGTGCTCCCACAAAGGAAAAGTTCTTACACACTTGTTAAATGAATCAGAGAAGGATGTGCACAATTACTAAAAGTCTAAGCATCAGAACCAGAGTCTGAACCTGATTCCCAGCTTACCTTCCTTGGTAAGTCATTTGTAAAGAAGTAGTTAATAGTGTGATTTCTCATAGAGTTGCATAGGGATTCAAACAAGTACAGAAGTCATATTCATGCTTGGTATGAATGAAGTACTGAATAAATCTTGCTGCTATTCATGTTGGCATTATTTCAGAAAATAACACTGAAGGTGAAAACAAAGTTTGAAAGATTGAGTGACATTCATAGTGTGAAGGTTAAGATCATAATCCTTAGAAAGTTGTCCTTAAGGGCCGTGAGATATCAGAGTGCAGAGTTTGAATGCCACACAGACTTTTGTTTAATTTTTAGCTCTGTCACTTGCTAGCTATATGACTAAGAATACCTAATAAAAACTCTAAAATTCCTTCACTCAATTGAGTGATATAACTGATATAATACTACCCATATCTTGGGTTCAGTGTTGTGGTATAGTATGTTAAGCTGTTGCCTAAGAGGCCAGCATCCCACATGATGGCTCCTTTGAGTCCCAGCTGTTCCTCTTCCTCTCCACCTCCCTCTTAATTTGCCTAGGAAACTGTTGAAGATGGTTCAAGTACTTGGGCCCCTTGCACTCATATGGGAGACCCAGATGAAGTTCTTGGTTCCTGAATTAAGCCTTGATCAGCCCTGGGCAATGTGCAACAGTTCAGGGAGTGAACCAGCAGGTGGAAGAGCTCTCTTTTTCTCTCTCCATTCCTTGCCCCATATCTCCATTTCTAGAACTTAGCCTTTTGATATTAACTAATTACACCAACCTCTCATGGGTTTTATCAAATCTGAATGAGAGTATTAATATTTCCTTTCCCCTAGCCCACACTTAATGATATTTCCTTTTCCTACCCTACGCTCCTCCAAAAATGTCTTCCTGTACTTTCTTTTGAGTTTTTCAAATATATTTGCCTAGCTTTCATGCCTTAAAAACACATGGCTTCTTTATATTTATGTAAATGCAAAGTAGCTAAAATAAAGCTTTGGTTTTTCTATAAATGGCAAATTGGGCAGAACAACAACAACAACAACAACAACAAAACATGAGGAATGGCTAAGACTTTTAAGACAACAATCAAAACCTCTTAGTTTCAGATGACAAAAGTATAGATGTCTACATTTCTCAAATTCCTATTTAACCTTCAATATCCAATGACTTATTTAAAAAAAATTATTCAATCTTTTCTTCTTCCCTACATAGTCTTTTCTCTTCACAAATTTATTTGCTTATTTGAAAGGCATGGAGAGGCAGATGACAGCCTGAGTTTCCATCCATTGGTTCACATGGAAATGCCCGCTAACTACTTCAGCTATCACTTGTTGCCTCCCAGAATCTGCATTAGCAGGAATCTGGAGTCAGGAAGCAGAGACAGTCATTGGAACCAGGCACTCCAACACAGGATGCAGGCATGTGAATCAGTATTCTAATCACATGCCACAAAGCCCAACTTAAATATTGTCTCATCCATTTGGACTTCCTTGGTGACCCTGTATAAACAGTTACTCTTTTCCCCATGGTGCCCTGCCTGTAGTGATGACCTCTGTCATGGCATTTATTGTTGCTGTTTATGCCCTGTGTGAAAAGCAAAAATACAGATGAGCAGGGAAAAAATTGTGAACAAAACCTGCCTCAAAGGGATAAATGGATAATTACAGTGCACCTGGCACCTGGTTGAAATTCAACATATGTTGACTTCCTTCATCTCTTCCTTTCTCCATCTCATTCTTCACATTAGTGAAAGTGATGTAATAATAGCTATGATAGATTGGATACACAGCCTACTAGACATTGAGCATACATTAGCTTTCAACCTCATGAAATCTCACAAATGCAGAAATTAAAGCTTAGACAAATTAAGTAACATGCCTGTAATCACAGCTGGATCTTTATAAGCTTTTTTTTTACCAGTAAATATTGGGCTCCTTATTTTTATTCCACCCTGTAATTTCTCTCTCTCTATCTACTAAATGTATTTCTTTCCATAGCTTATAAATAGAGTCTCCTTAGCAGACTAAACAAAGATTAAAAGCACAAAAAGCCCTAAGATTGTATGATAATTTCCAAGCCAAAATGAAGCTATGTAATTCTAGAAGCTATGATTGAGAAAGCTCCAGAGAACATGAAAGGTCCTATTCAGAGAAGATTTAGCTCTTATAAATCTTGCATAGATTTACAAGAAATAGTCACAAAGTGAGTATAAAATTATATGCATAAGGATGTTCATTGCACTGTTGTTTGGAAGAGAGAAATTGAAACAAATCCAATTATCCTTTAATAGAAATTAACCAAATAAACTATTTTATAGCTATCTTATAGATGAGTCAACCAGCTGTTAAAAAAATAAAAGGTCAGTTAATAAATATTTTAAACTTTGCAAGAGGTAAATCTGTGTATGTATCTGTATCATTATATGGTGAAAGTGGTATTCCAATAAAAATGTATTTACAAAGCAACAGGTTAAATTTTATCTTTGAGCCAACAGTGCATTAAACTTTATTATAGATTATTATGTTGTTTAGAAAAAAACAAGGGAGATCTTCAATGTACTTTTAGATTGAAACAAACAAGTTATTAACAGCAAGGAAAACATGATCATATTAGTGTAAAATCTACCTACATTTAAAATTAACACTCACCATGTGTTTCATGCAGTATATATTATCAACAATTTTTAACCTAATCAAGAAGTACTTAGACAAAATGCCACAGGAGTAGGCAGAGTGAGGTGCAGGGACATCCAATGTTTACTTCTTTAACATGGGGTCATTCCATTGGCTCAGCACTCAGTGTGGGCAAAGTACACCCTCAGGAAGCACCCTTGAATCACTCACATTGAATTCCGTGAGCATTGAGTCGTAGACTGCAATCATGTGTCAGTATGAAAAAATATATATTTTTGGCCTCAAAATTCCGTGTGTCTACTGAATTTGTTGCAATGTCACTCTCCAAATCAATGACAAAACATTTCATTAGACTGAGAACTGAATAACATCGCCCTGACATTCATAGATTCAAATACTAACACTTCATAGCTCAGAATGTGACTACACTCAAAGATCAAATCCTTACAGAGCTGATTCAGTTAAGACGAGGTTCCTGGGTGCTCCTTTTCCCAATGTGAGTAAAATTCTTGAAAGAGAAAGTTATGAAAAAAAAGGAGAAAGTTATGACATCAGCATATAAAAAGGGAAGAACAGAGGGTACATATAGATGTAAGAGAATGCATTTCTCTATCCCATTTATGATACTTTGTAATGGCAAACTTAGCACACTTGTACTACATGAATATAGGACGTGTGTGTGTGTGTGTGTGTGTGCGTGTGTGCGTGTGTGAGATAGTGGCAGAATAATACCAGAATGCCACTAAATGTAACGGGTTAGGTTGGCAACTGGAGAAGCAGAGATGCCAAGAAGCACTTAGACTGGGAAGTTGAGCAATCAGTAGATATCCCAAGCCCTTCTGGATACATTCTGGACTAGGATATGCAGAAGGATTAGGGGATTATGACGCAGGGCTAAGCTAGATGCATTAGGATCAAAGAGTGAGCGTAAGGAGTATCAACAAAACTACCTGCAGAATGTATTGCCTGCCATTTATAATCTGATTGAATTGACACAATAAGAAATTATAGACTGGTGGTTTAATCAACAGAAATTAATTTTCTCATTCTGGAGTTTTGAATATTCCAAGTCCAAGACAAGATGACATCAGGGTTGGCTCCTGTTGAGGATTCATGGTTGGAATTGACACATCTTCAGTGTGTTCTCTCAGATGGTTTCTCTGTGCACATGGGGTATCTTTTTCTCTCGGCAGAATGATACCAGGACTATTGGATCATTTACATCTTCATTTCTAACCACCTCCCTAAAATGCCTGTTTCCAAGGGCAGTCACACTGGGGGTGTGGATTTGACCTATGAATTTGGGATGGGACCATGGGGCACCAATTTAATCCATAATGCTAGGGAAAGAGTAGTTAGGTTAGGAATGTGGGGAAAATATTTAAGAAAAAATTTAAACTAAATATACTAAGCTTCAAAATGAAAGAGTGCAGAACATAAAGTGCAGAAAAAAGAGAGGTTAGAATCAGGACTGATTTACTGTCAACAGGTAAAGGAAGTATGGACTGGACATTAAGCAGCAATGGCAAAGTCTGTCTCACCACAGAGCTCAAGTTCATTGCGATGTATTACACCTTTCCTTCTGGTTTCATGAGCAATCTTGGCTCAATACAGATTCTGATCAAGGCTATCAGAAAGGGTACTGGATCACAGAAAAGCTGTCATTTCATGACATCAGGGAAATCTTCATGGAACATGTGCTGTTTCCAATGGGCTTTAGGAACAGAACTGGGGTAGAGGAGATCAGCTAGAGAATAGCAACAGGTAGAGGGAAAGGAGAACCTACCACAGGCGTAGACAGAAATCGTGAGCAATGTTCTGTAGGACAGACAGGCAATGCCTATGATTAGAAAGAAACCATCCTGTACTTTTGAATGGCCACAGGCAGGGACTCACCCCAAGGCTGCCTTCTCTGATCCTGGAATTGGCTCATACTGTGAGCAGTCATTTTCCACGTCCCTGGAGTCCTCACAGTTGTCCTCATCAGAACCATCAAGACAGTCATTCTCTCCATTGCACACGAGGTGGCGTTTCAGGCAGCGACCTGAGAGAGACAAAGATATGGATGGCCAAGGGACCTCCACCTCTGAAACAGACCTCCCTTCTGGGCCATCCCCTCTGTGCCTCTGCACCCAGGAAAGGCACTGCTTCAGTTGCTGATCCTCTAAACCAACCTTCATGGTGTACCCACCAATAATCTTTCTAAAATGCCCCTTTGCATTTGCTCTGCCTCCTGTGACTTCCCATGCTTCTCCTTCCAAACCTGTGCTGGAGGTTAACTCAGTGGCCCATCACCCTCCTGTCTTCCAAAGCCTTGATGCTGCAGATATTGGGAGACAATTCTGAGTCCCTGAATCCTGTGCTTTCTGCACATCTTTCTCCTAAAGACATCTAGTCTAGTTTCCAAGTCACAACTAAAATTCCATATTCTATCCACTCTTGCTCCTGAAAGCATACTTGAACAAACCCTGATAGGGAGCTGCACTTGGCCACTTACATATGACTATCACAAAATATTGTAATGAGCTCCTTGAAAATATCTCTCCCTTGGGGTCAGTGCCATGGCATATTTGCCAACTGGCATCCTTTTGGGGAGCCAGTTCAAGTCTCACTGCTTCACTTTCAATTCAGCTCCCTGCTAATAGCCTGGAAAAGCAGTAAATAAAGGCCTGAGTACTTGGACCCTGCTCCTCGCTTCAGGCCAGTCCATATCTGTCCATTGCAGCCACTGAGAATGAACTAGTAGATGGAAGACCTCTCTCTCTCTGATATCCAAATAAATAAATATCTTTTAAACATGCCTAATCCTGGGCCCAATCTCAATCCTATAGAATAGCCACCTCCAGGGGAAAGATCCAGGAGTCTTCATTTCAAAAATCTGCTCTAGTAAAGTATTTTCTATGATGTGTTTGAACGGCATGCTACTCACCTGTCTCCTTACACTGGAAATCCTGTCCACACTCTGCTGGCCTTAGACAAGCTGTGGGACTAGAACAGCTGGCTTGGTCCCAGATATCACCACTGCAGATGGTTCCCCCAAACTTGCTAGGCTGCAAGAGGCTCCGGTGTCGATACTAAATCAGATTTTTGAATCAGATACAGTCTTGTCAATCAATCAACCAAGATAAATGCAGGCAGTGCTCAGCCTTAACATAAGGAACAACTATCTCATGATTGAAAGCTGCCTACAGAATTGTCTTTGAGGGGATGGTTATGCATAAACAGTAGTGTTCAACAAGCGGTGGCATTTACCCCACTCTCCACCTGGAATATAAAAGAGGGCCTCCAAGCATCAAATGAGAGCCTTAGAGAAGATATTTCTAGGGTCCATCTACTTGCTGAAAATTACCCCTGTTGTGTTTTTTGCAATCAGTTAATATCTACTTATCTGTTAAGATTTATGCCATGCCTTCTCTTGGAAAGCTTTCCTGATCTTCTCTCTCTCCTAGAACCTGCTGTATAAGTTTGCAGTTGAATAGTCAGTCACTCATTTGTTGTTCTGTGCCATCAGTGTGTTTATGGGATTAGGGCTGGTGAAGGAAAGACCACATCTTATTTTGATTCATATAGTTGACACTTGATCTGTGACACTTTAAGAGGCACTTTCAGAGTTATTGATATTCTTTGGTAGCATTTCTTCTGGCCATAACATCTCTTTAATCCCTGCTCTGTATCTATGGTTGAGGTGGGGGGACTTCAGTCAGTCATGGTAACGTGTGGATTTGCATCAGGCTCAAGCCACAAGAGCATTATGTCTGTCTTGCTGCACTGATTGCCTCATGGATTGCCACATGACTCATCCAGGCCAATCATAGTGCTCTTTGGAAATTGACTTCGTGGAAGAAACCGCTTCTTCCTATTGGAGTTCATGAGATTTGTGGACATTGAGTAGCCATTCTGCCTACTGCATGGATGGAGCTCATGAGCCCCTGGTTCTAGACATCACTGCCAATGAATAAACACAACTTGATGGAACAAGGGAAAAAATGAATGTATGTCAGTCTTGGGGATCGAGGGATTCAGGATGTTTTCTATGGTGCATAGAATCAGATGCTATCACAAAAGGAGAACGCTGAGGACTAAGATATTCACATAAGCATAAAGCCCCATCCCTGCCTTCCAGAGTCTTGGAATCTAATTTAGGAGATAAAATTTACAATAATATAGAGCATCCTGTGTGGAGAGCATCCACGTGGAGTTTGAAGGGAATTGCAACCCTGTGTTACTCTCTACTTCTTCCCTCTGCCCCACCCACGAGCTTAAGCATCAATAGCTGTGAGTCCATGATCTCAGTTTATTCCTTGTTGTGTAAAGAACCAGTGCCTGGTACTTTGTACCTCAGTTTCCAACTCTGTAAAAAAGAGGTGACTGACCTAGAAGACCTCCCTGATGACAATCACTAGTGACTCTTTTTCATGTGCTCCACATTTGGAAGAGCATGAGAATTAGAAAAACTTGGATTCCAACCCTAGGATCATGTATCAGTTGACCAGAAGCAAGTCACTGAACTTTCCTAACAGTTTTCTAATATGCCAAATGGTGTGTAATGGCACTTGACAATGAAAGAACTGTGTGCGATCCAAGTGAGAGATTGTATATGCAAGCAGCTAGCTAATCATCAATGCTTAATAAATGGAGGAATGATTCTTATGCTTTCTCTTTCAAGTGATCCAGAGAGTGAAATGCTGGTTATTCTCCTCTTGCCTTACTCCACCTACTTCATTTCTCACTAACAAGGAGGGAAAGGGAGCAAGGAGAGATGAAGATCAAATCTGTGCATTGCTTTCAGTTAGTAACAACCACAAGAGATTTGTAAACTCTTTGGGAAGAGATTATAATTAATGATCAATTTGAAAATACCAGGATATATTGCTCCTCAGTGCAATAAATAAAAGAGTAATCAATGTACAAACACAGGCCTTATTTCCTTACTCATTCTTTTAAAAGTTCATTGGATTTTTAATCAATGTAGTTATCAACATGATAATAATGGAAATGATGGCTGCCAGAGTGATAGAGCAGTTACTATTGGTCAGACTCTTCATCCTTTATCTCATTTCATCGTCACATGTTTATGAAGTTAAATACTATTATGAAATCCATTGTAAGCTGGGTGAGCATTCTAACGGTTTGGTCACAAAAATACGTGTATACAATTTACAGCATACATGTATAGAAATATAAGCATGATTAAATATATATATATAGATGTTATTTTGTAAATTTGTTAACATCTCTGGCCCTCTTTTCTCATTTTCAAAAGAAGATATATTTGAGAGTATGGCAAAAGCTAGGGATGATGCAGCTGAAGAAGTCAGCACTTTGGTTCTCAGAATACACTGAATAATTATAGTTATCGTTGTAGCAAGCTTTGGGGCTGCTCCCTAAGGAGTTGGACTAGGTAACCACTAATGTCACTGCTCTCTGGTATAGGTCAGCAAAGGCAATGGAGTGGAGTGGACAGCCTCTTAGTCTTTGTAGAATCATATTGATCAAGATGAAAATCCACATTCCACTGTTTTCTTAATGGGTCTTATACAGTGTGCATTAGCAAAGCCTATCATTTATAGTTGGCTGTGAAAGTGAAATTCAACAGCTGATTTAAGGCATTAGCACAGTGCCTGATATGTAGAAATCACTCAATAACCGATGAATATAAAACCTGTTATCATTCTTTCTGGTGCTCCTATGCTTAGAATGAGGGTGCAAGTCAAAAAGTGCATTCCCATCGGTTCCCTGTTGTCAAGACTGCTGTCAAGTAATGAACATGCAGTGTTGCAGGAAGGCTGGTTCTGAGGCCCCCTCGGGCACTTCTCCGTGCTGTTGCCTATGGTTGGTATCATTAAGACATAATTTTCTTTTCTAGTCAGTAGATAATGTTTCTTGTAAGAAACGCACATCTTTGGGTGATTTGGAGAGGAAGAGCACACCAATAAAAAGAAACTAATGTGGCTTTCTATTTAAATAATTAACAGAATTTAATTATTATTAGGATTATGTTAAAGACATGTGCATGTCTTTTTGAGTCACTAAGAAGGTAATTTGATTCTGATTTAAACTCTAAGTCACTTGTACTATCTGTTACCTGAATTGAAACACACGAAAAAAAAATCTACTTTAGGATGGATGATAGGTTGAATAGTCACCATATAAAATCGCCAAATTCTAATCATGGAACTTGTAAACTTTAGCTTATTTGGAAAACATGTCTTTGAATGCATTACTAACGTTTTTGAGGTGAGATTAAACTGGATTGCCTGGGTGGACCTCAGTGCCATCCTGGTACCCTTACAGAGGAATCAAGTGGATGCCCACCACTAACGGATTTTAAATCAGTAAAATAAAAAAGAAAGAAAAACAGAAGAGAAGTCAGATTGTTTCTTGTTATTACCATAAACAAGTGATTCTGGACAAAGTCAGAATTCCAGGACTCACGCTGCTGTAGTGGAGGCTCTCTGCATCCTTTCCCAACATATTACTGGGACCACAGCACACCACTTAAATAGGTATGACAAACACATCCATATGTGTTGTATGTACTGGTCTTCTCAGTACATGGAACAGCATCCTTAGGAGTATCTCCATGGCATCCACTGGCTTATCTCAGTTTCCCATAGGAGCTCTGCATTTTGCTATTCAATTCTCCATGGGCAGCTTGGCATCTTGTTGCTAAGCTGACAGTCTCAGCAGATAAGCCTTATTAAAGGGTAAAAACTTGGCCAGGACTCAGTGAGGTCATCAGGAATAACTTTGTGCTGTCCAGATGGCCACTTGTCAGCCCATCAGCATAAATACCCATTGCTTGCAGCCTCCCTCATCTTACCTTCCAGTGAGATGCAGAAGAGGCCAAGTTCCACCTCTAGGTGTCCATGGCTCCAAACGACCCAGGACTCTTAGATTCGTAGCTTAAACTCCTTACTTGTATTTCATACCTAATATACAGTCCAACGGGAAATGCTTCTAAACTGGTTGGCAATGGCTTACCTTTGTGTTCTGGCATGGAAAGCAGTCTGTCCATTCTGACCAGTTGCTCAGCTGGCAATCAACTGCTGTGGGGGTGTTGGATTGACTTACTCTCCTAAAGACAAGAAAGACTCATCCACTACTGAGATACAGAATTTAAGCAGATATGAAAGCTATGCACACTCTCCTTCCAGAAACACACAATGTATATTAAAAGAAGAATGGACATTTATTGTGATGTTGCTACATACAGGTATAATGTGTTGGAGAAATCACATAGATGATCCTTTAGTACTATATCAATCTCAAGTAGATCAAATTATTACAATTTATGGAAAGATTGCAACTGACAAGGGCTAACAGCTTTTGATGCAGGAGAAGCAGAAAGCTCAAAAGCTAACAACATGGAGTGTGACACCTGAGGACGGAGTTTGAATCTTAGCTGCTTGGTGTTACTTAGCGTCTCAAAGCAATAGCATTCCCTTTGTGAAATCATGTTACAAGTAACATTACCTAATGGGGCTATAGAATGCATGTTAAAATGCTCGTGAAGCGTTTTCTAAAGGACAGCTTTTATGATTACATGCTGGGACATCACATGGATTAGTTCATTTAATCTCTATAACAATCCTGGGAGGTAATATAATTAGCCCTTTTTGTATGTGAGACAGCTGACATTCCTGAAAACTAAACACACTCTGAAAACGCAGCTCTAGAGAGCGGAAATGCTGGAATTTACTGGTTTGCAGGCAAAAGCTATTTCCTGCTCCTCATCATGCAACTGCCTGATTCACAAATCAGCCAGCAAAGATGAGGAAGGAGATCCTTGCCTGGTCTGTCTCCAATAGGATGATCTTTCTTTTTACCGCACTCTGCTTTTATCAAAAGCTTTCCCAGGGCTCACGGGGCAAAGGATGTAGCCACACTGCAGCTTTGAGGCCACGGGCAGAGTGAGAAGGCTTTCTGTCACTGCCACAAATGCCACAGCCTCGGAGAGCCAGCCTGCCTCTCCGTGATGGATGGCACAATCATCTCCCGAGCGTAGCGAAATCCGTGCTTCAAATCTCCTGCTAATTACGAAATAAGCTGCTACTCAGGATGAATGATGACAATGAGGTGGAAACTCCAGACAGCAGTCACAGGTTAGTCAGGGAGATTATGTTTATCTTTAATATTGGTTCTCCAACTTGTGGTCACTGGCTGCCTTTGAACTCCAACAAATTATTGAGGACTTCATATAGCATTTAAGTGTGATAGCTCTATCAATATTCAAAAAATCTAAAATAAAAAACAACATTTTTAAAATTTCCTTGATATTTCAAATAATAACAAACTCATCATATTTGCTATAAATAACTTATTAAAATAGTGTTGTTTTACATTTCTACAAATTTCTTGAAATTTGATTAAGTAGAAAGCAACTAATCTCTTGTTTCTATTGCTTCATTCAAGCTTGGCTATAATTACTTCCAAAGTCTATGAAAAACTTGAAAATGGAAGAATAGCCTGGCGCGGTGGCCTTGTGGCTAAAGTCCTTGCCTTGAATATGCCAAGATTCCATATGGGCGCCGGTTCTAATCCCTGAAGTCCCGCTTCCTATCCAGCTTCCTGCTAGTGGCCTGGGAAAGCAGTGGAGGACAGCCCAAAGGCTTGGGACCCTGCACCTGCATGGGAGACCCTGAGGAAGCTCCTGGCTCTAGCTTCGCATAGGTACAGTACCAGTTGTTGTGGTCACTTGGGGAGTGAACCATCGGACAAGAGATCTTCCTCTCTGTCTTTCCTCCTCTCTGTATATCTGACTTTGCAATAAAAAATAAAATAAATCTTAAAAAAAAAGAAAAGAGGAAAAGTTATGGTATCAGTATTTTCATATAACTTTGATGTTTACTTTAATATTACACCAAAACTTGACATGTGAGAATTTGTTGTATAATTGACTTTTGGTGTTCTTTTATATTAAAATGTATTGATCTATAAACACTTGGAACAGCTCTTGTGCCTCATACATAATTTTATTAGCGTCAGGCATTGAACATTTGGAAAATAACGGATCACTGAGTATGTGTGTGTTGCAAATACTAACATAACGCATTCTGCAACAGAAAAAAAAAATCAGACTTTGTAATAATAGCACCAGTGATTTCATCAAGTTGATGGCGGTGTTTTCATTTTCATCTGAAAATGCTAATTTTTTATTGTTAACTAGTATTGTTCCAGTTTTCTTGATTAGTTAGACTTGCTTTGTTTTTGATTCAATGCAAGACAAATATCTAATCCCAAATGACCATAGTTTGGTGATCGTTTTAATATTTTTCAAAATTTTAGTTCTAGGTTTAAAAAGAAGTGAACTCCTGGACTGAATATTTGTGTCATTCCAAATTAATATGTTGAAGACTAACCCTCAATATGAGAGTCCTGGGAGGTGAGAATAGTGGGAGGTGATTAGGTCATGAAGGAAGAGCCATGAATGAGACTAGTGTCCTTATGAATGGGCTCCAGAGAGCACCCTCCTCTCTGCCATGTGACGACGGGACACAAAGAGACGAAACAGCCACCCATGAACAATGAGACAGGCTTCACCACGTGCTGAATCTGCCTGTGCCTTGGTCCAGGGCTCTGGAACTGTCAATAACGAATGGGCTGTTCACACCACTCCACTGGGAGTCATTGGTCAGGGCAGCCAGTACAGACAAAGGCAAGTGGCCCCTGTGACTCTAAACACTAACAACTATTTTTCCTAAAGACAACATCATACTTCAGGACACCGGTGCTCTTTAAGCACTGCTCTCCCCTCCCCCAATTGTTTTTCATAAAATAGTTTCATAGCATCTATTCACGAGCTGGGGTTCTAAAAACTTAGCAATTCTTACTGTTTTAAGGACTTGCTTGTTTTTTTTGTTTGTTTGTTTGTTTTTTTCTGCAAAGCTTGGTAATACTGCCTTACTTTGCTCAAAAGTCACAAAAGATTTACCCATTATTGCTTTTGCAACATCAGTAAAAATACAAACACAGGAAAAGGGAAAATAATCCTTGGCATCATTATGAAGACTTCTCTGGACTCACAGGACCTCTGGAAAGATCTTTGGGGACTGCCTGGGATTGGCAGCCCACACTTTTGGAAGGTCTGACCTTTGCTAACAGCAGTCCTACTATTCCTTAAAACAAACAAATAAACAAACAAACAAAAACACTTCAATGTGGCTCAATTCCCAGTCTCACTCTGGGACACTCAGCACCTGTCTGAATAAGCATCTAACTCTGCCCTCTCAGTTGCTCCTCCTCCTAGTCTGTGGTAATCCTTTCTTTATCCCACTGTTCTTCATCCTCACATTCATGATCTTCTACAATCTGAAACGGCTCCTCCCCCGCTCCCATGTCTCTGTGCATGGTTATTTCCTTCCTGTCTTTTCTGTTTCACGATTCTCACTGCACCTTTTTCTTGGACACCTTTGGGACTTGTGCTATCAGGGCAACAAAGCTCCCTACCAGTAAGATACCTTCCTTGTTTGATTTCTTTACATATCTATTTCAATTTTCACAGTCATCTTTTAAAATCTTCACCCATAGCTTAAACTCCTAGACCCCCTGTTCTCTCAGTTACACCCACCTATAAAATTCAACCCTGAATGAACCTAACTACTTTGTACTTTTCTTGGTGAATTTTTGGGTCTCTTTCAGTCTTACTATCACTTACTATCAATTTCTTAGGGAAAGATTTTCCACACCAGGGCTGGTTAGGTATTTCCATTCATTTTCTGATCAATCTTTGCATACTTTCTCAACATTTAATCACCACACATGCAATACGTGTATAATTTCTGTCTTCCATGCAAAATTCTAATCCTGATGGATATAGAAGCCATGCGTATAATTGCTACTGCGGTTCTTGCACCTATATGGGTTAGGTCCATTATGGTTCTTGAAAATATGGCAGAAAAGAAAACAATGAAAGAAGTGGGAGGAGGGAAAGGAAGGAAGAAGGGTTAGAGGGAGAGAGAAAAAGAATGAAATTAATTTCTGGGAAATAGGCAGTGACATTGTAGAGATTTTTCTAAGTATCTACACTTGATTAAAAGTTAAAATCTAAATAAATAGACTTGGCATCTAAAAGTTCAAATGATTCAAGGTTTGGTCCACACATTTTTTTTTCTGATATATGTTTCTAATAATAGTCATCACAAGGTGAAAGAGAATACAGGGTGAAAGTTTGGGAACTGGAAAGAATTTCAGCATTAGTTGTATATCTCCCTATGGGATTGTCAAGACAATGTCATTATAAGCCCATAGACTGCATTATGCTGTCAGGATGGGGGAAACAGTACTAATGGATGGAAGCCAAAGCCTAGATGGAGCAGTGCTGGGTGGCTGCAGTTTGAAAAGCTTTGTGACATGATGTCTAGACAGGGGCACATGCACTAATTCCATCAGGGAGGCCAAAGAACAGAAAGTAGCCCAGGACCACGCATTAAGTCATTACAGGGCTCCAACCTCTTAGCCAATATCAATATGAACAGTATTTTATCTTATCATGCCAATGAACTTTTTAATGCAGTTCACTTTTCAAGGATTATGGAAGTAATACATTCTCATTGAAGGAAAATAGGAAAGATTGGAAATGAAAAAAAAAATACCCTAAATCCTACCACACCACTAATGTGTTTTTTAAATATATATTTCTGAGCACTTTATATTCCTAAGAAATATAAATCCTAAGTTCATACTGTGAATCACATTTTTTATTCTGTTTTTTTCTACTTGGCAGGAGAGAAAAAATGTGAATGATTTAGAATGGTATCACATTGTTCTACTCCTTGCCAGACTATTGAGCCCCAGTTTGTCTGTAGTCTCACTGAGGAGACTTCCTATAGAATTGAATGAAGGGAAAGTTTGTGACACATATTGCCAAGTGGATTTCTGAAAGAACTGCATCAGTTTATTAAGAATTATTTATTTATTTTAAAAGTCAGATTTACAGAGAGACAGGAAGAGACAAAGAAAAGTCTTTCATCTGCTCGTGCTGGACCAAATTGAGAAAGCAGGGTCTGGAGGCTTCCTTCAGGACACCCATGTGGGTATCAAGAACCAAGTGCTTGGATCATCTGCTTACTGCTTTTC